AGCTTACACATCCTTCTTCAAACATTCTCCCTATTTCTTTTCCTGGATTAAAAAAAATAATTAAAAAAATTTTCTGATCAAGTAATATGTACCTGTTGTTGAACATTCCCATGTCATATTTGAAATGCCCTGGAAGGTGAGGGAAACAGTGTTATTATAGTTGAATGAACAAATTAACAAGAGTACATTAAAAAATTGTTTTTATTGATTTCAGAGAGAGAAAGGGAAAGGGAGAGATAGAAACATCAATGATGAGAGAGGATCACTAATTGGCTGCCTCCTACATACCCCTCCTCCCCTGGGAATCGAGCCCACAACCAGAGCATGTGCCTTGACTGGGAATCAAACCATGACCACCTGGTTTATAGGTTGACACTCAACCACTGAGCCACACTGGCCAGGCCAGAGTACATTCTTGAAGACAGAGGACAAGGAGGAAACTCCAGGCAGGGGACATGCCCAGGATAGTGACGAGCATTTCTTCAGGATACAGTGACCCGGCTGGACTGACTGGACCGAAGGTCCAGCGGAACACTGGAAAGGGAGGCAAAGTCATAAAGTGCCTCCCACAAAGCTAGACAGTCACTGCTCATGGGTCACAAGGACGTGCTGCGTGCTTCGTGATACACACTTCTTCCCTTTAACACATATGTGAGCACCCACTGTGTGAGGCACAATTTTAAGCACCAAATCAGACAGACAAGATCCTTGCTCTCATGCAACTTGCATTCTAGTGGCTACGGGGAGACAGCAAAAAAAAAAAAAAAAAAAAAAAAAAAAAAAGATAATTTCAGGTACTGAGAGATGTTCTGCAGATAATCAAATAGGGTCCTGGCATGGAGTAGCCGTGGGAATTACCTTAGATAGGTTGGTCAGGAAAGTCCTGACAAAGTGACATCTGAATCTGAGCTAGGACTAATGGGGAGAAAGAGCAAATACCAATGTCCTAAGACTCACAATCATGGTGTATCCAAGGAATAGAAAGGCCGGAGCCTAGTGAGCTCAGGGGAGGGGCAGGGAAGCCTAGAGAACTCTTTTACAATAATGGTCTCTGCCTACAGACAGTAATGGTCTCTGCTTATGGGAGTTGAAGACGAAGAGCATTCTGGAATGCTCTCTCTTTTCTAAATTATGCAGACCAACTGTTGTGTGGGAAGTCAGGAAAATGGCTATGAAGTTTGCCCCATCACTAAGCAGGACTCAGTCCTCCAAACGTCATACTCGCCTCCCATTCCTCCTAATCACGAATGAGGCCAAGGTTTAACCCCGCACCAGTCAGCCTCGCTCAGGAAGAGCATCAGATTTGTTCTTCTCTCCTGAAGAGGCGTGAGCGGCATCACACCAGGAGGGGAAACGTATCGGTTGGCACCTCCTAGTACAAGACACTCGCACCAAGCACCTCAGAGAGGCTCCTGGTTTTGCGCAGGCAACCCATCTCACAGATCCAGATCCAAAAGGTTAAAAAACGTGCTCAGGACCATACAGCAGGAAGTAGCAGAGTTAAGAGTGAAACTCAGTTTTTCTTTTTCTCAATTTCATAATTTGTTCACCAGCCAAGAATAGTCCTGACATTCAAAAAGTTAGAGAATAACCTATCAAAACCCATGTACTCCACAGAGAGGTGAAGAAATGCAATTTGAGCCCTTCTGGTGTGCCTCAGTGGTTGAGTGTCAACCTATGAACCAGGAGGTCACGGTTCGATTCTCCGTCAGGGCACAGGCCTGGATTGTGGGCTCCATCCCCAGTATGGGGCTTGAAAGACGCAGATCAATGAATCTCTTATCATTGATGTTTCTATCTCCCTCTCCCTTCCTCCCTGAAATCAATAAAAATATATTTTTTAAAAAATACAACATGAAGCCTCCTACGTACTGCTCTCTTCATTCTTCTAAACAACGGTCTCTGATTCCTTCCACTTGGGAGATACTGCAAATAGCATCCTAATAGGTACCAGTGGCACTTCCATCTTCTTCCAGTCACTAAGTTCAATGAATTCTGATATCTATTTCCACTATTCTTCCTACCCTTCTCCTTTCTATAAGAATAATTTATCTGGATGATTACAATGGCCTCCTAACAGGTCCCCCTGCATCTACTCATCCCCCTTTCCAGTCTAATCTTCATATTACAACCACTAGCCATATATATATGTATATATATACACACACACATACACACACACACACACACACAATATATATATATATATTATTGCTTTCAGGGATGGAGAGGGAGAGATAGAAACATCAATTATGAGCCGAATCCAATTTGGCTCAGTGGATAGAGCGTCAGCCTGTAGACTGAAGGGTTCCAGGTTCGATTCTGGTCAAGGTTGCGGGCACATCCCCAGTAGGGGGTGTGCAAGAGGCAGCTGATCGATGTTTCTCTCTCATCGATGTTTCTAACTCTCTATCTCTCTCCTTTCCTCTCTGTTAAAAATCAATAAAATATATTTTTTTTAAAAAAGAAAAATCAATTATGAGAATCATTTGATTGGCTGCCTCCTGCATGCCTCCTACATATGCCCTTGACCAGAATCAAACCTGGGACCCTTCAGTCCATAGGCCACTGCTCTATCCACTGAGCCAAACCGGCTAGGGCCATGGTAGGCCAACCGCAGCTCTCGAGCCACATGTGGCTCTCTGGCCCCTTGAGTGTGGCTCTTCCACAAAATACCACGGCCTGGGCAAGTCTACTTTGGAAGAAGTGGCGTTAGAAGAAGTTTCCTAAGTTCAAAAAATGTGGCTCTCACAAGAAATTTCAATCGTTGTACTGTTGCTATTTGGCTCTGTTGACTAATGAGTTTGCGACTACTGGGCTAGGGCAACCACTACTCTTAAGACCTTTCAACAGCTGCTCTTTGCTGTGAGGAGAGACAAATCACTTGAGGGGCACACAAGGTTTTCTGTGGCCTTTTGCCTGTTCGCCACTCTAGCTTTATCTCAACCCGTGGTTTTAGAGGCCCCACCTTCTGGCCGTTCCTTGTAATCTCCCCGCACTCTCCAGCCTCGGCCTTTGTACACACTGTTCCTTTCTGCTCCACCTGAGTCACTTGCTTCCTTTTCTCAGGTAAGTTTAGCTTGAGTCCCCTGACTGTAGCATTCCTTGGTACCTGTCACGTTGACAATTTTACAATGATTTGTGAGATTCATTAATTACTGTAGCTTCTCTAATCAGCTAGGGACCAAGAACTACTTGCTTAGTCCAAAATGCATGCTATCAATACATAGGTAATAGCCAATGTGTACATAACATATTTGATGCCAGGCTGTGTTCTTAGCACTTAACATCTACTAACTCACATAAGAACTCCCAAAAGCCCTTTTTGAGGTAGGTAAATTAGCTTTTTATACATATATAAAAGCAAACTAAGTCACACAAGCTAAGAAATGGCAGAGTTGGGCTGTGGTGAACCCAGGTAGTCAGTATGGCTAGAGTAGGGAAATTATTCCAAGAGTTCTATAAACTGCAGAAACTGGTTTGGCTCAGTGGAGGACCCAGGTTCGATTCCAGTCAAGGGCATCTACCTTGGTTGCGGGCACATCCTCAGTAGGGGATGTACAAGGGGCAGCTGATTGACGATTCTCTCGCATCGATGTTTCTAGCTCTCTATCCTTCTCTCTTCCTCTGTAAAAATAAAAATAAAAAAATCAATAAAATATATTTAAAAAAGAGTTCTATAAACTACCCTAGAGCAATATAGTGAAAATGTAACCCTAGAGCAAAACAGTGAAAATGTAACAATTCAGACAATGCTTCACGTGCAGCCCATGAAACCATATCAGGGGAAGTCAAGAAACTGCACTTTTTCTTTATGTGCATTTTTCCTAGGGAAGGCTTTCATTTGTTCCTTCCAGAGCTTAGAACTTAAAAAAAAAAAAAAAAAAAGGCTAAGAACCACGATCCTTTCCACCTGTACAAGCATTCCTTCCGGTTCCCTTTAAACAGGCACCTTCACAGGATGAAACATTTCTATTCCTTTAAGTACCCGACCACTGTGGGTGGAGATCGAAGAGGAATTCAAATACCCACCCCATGTGAGTTAAGAGCTCGTAACAGCACCGGCCTCAAACCCTATAAATGTCTTAAGGAAGTGATCGGTCTTCACCTCCTCGAAGGGGAAAGCTGAGGGCAAGGCCCAGGGCAGTCAGGAGCGCTTGAGTCCAGTCCCAAGCAGCCCACGGACCAGCAGTGTGGCCTCGCGCACACGTTACATGCCCTCTCTGGGCTTCCGCTTCCACACCTGCAAACTGGGAGTGGAACCGCATGGCCTTCAAGGTCCTGCCCTGCCGCTGAACCTGCTACCCAGTAGGTCCCGCCATTAAAGCAGCTTCCTGTGGGCGCGGTGCACGGCTTCAACGCCCCCCTCCCTCCCTCCTCTCCCCTCCCCTCCCCTCCCCCGCTCAAGCCCGCGAAAGCCTCTCCAACACGCCCCTCCGAGGGCCGGCGCTTCCCCAACCGCAGCCCGGACGCGGCCCCGCCCCTTCCCGGGGGCGTCCCATGCTGCCCCGCGCCGGGCTCCCACAGCGCCGGGGCACCTCCCGCGTCGCCGAGGCCCCGACCCCGACCTCTTCCCCCCAATTCTCCCGGGCGCCCTGTCCTATCAACGTCTCGTACCCCAGCCAATCCTGCGGGCCCGGAGCCTGGCCTTAGGTCCACTCTCCTCTCAGCGCTCCGCCGGTGTGAGACCGAGGCCTTTACCCAGCCAGCCCAATCAGCGCCCGGCTCTCTCCGGCCCTCGGCCAATCCACGCAGCCCATTTTCGCTGCCCGCCCAACCAACCCGGGACTTGGAACCAGCGGGCGAATGGGTGCAGGGCGGCCCTTCAACGCAGGCCGCCTGGCCAATAGGGAGCTCCGCATGGCCACGGCGGCAGCCAATCGGCGTGGAGCGCGGTGCCGCCGCGGAGAGGTCCGGCCCGAATATCCCTCCGCCTTCCTCCCTCCCTTCTCTCTCGCTCCCAGCGAGCCGCCGTTCACTGACTGCCTCCCTTCCTCCTTTCTCCCTCCGCCGCCCGAGCACCAGCCGCGCTCTGAGCTGCCCCCGGGGTCCCTCCCCCGCCGCCAGAGGAGCAGCTGCCGCCGCCGCCGCCGCCAGCAGCGAATTGGGAGGGAAGAGAGAACGAGAGGAGGAAGGAAGGGAGCCAGAGCGACTAACCCGAGGGAGCCGGTGAATGGGCTGGTGGTGACCCCCGCTCCCCACCCCACCCTCCCTTCCCACCCGACCCCCAACCCCCATCCCCAGTTAGAGCCGCCGCCCCAGAGGCCGGACCCGTCGTCTTAGGAAAGAGTAGCCGCTGCCACCTCCGCCATGGAGCTGATCACCATCCTCGAGAAGACCGTGTCTCCGGGTAGGACGCGGGGGCCGGGGGTCGGGCTGAGGTGATTGGGTGGGGGGGAAGGGAAGCCCTAGCCCCTCTGACCCTGTCCCCTTTCCCACTTTCCTTCCCCCCCAGATCGGCTGGAACTGGAAGCGGCGCAGAAGTTCCTGGAGCGTGCGGCCGTGGAGAACCTGGTGCGTGCCATCCCGCCGGCCCCCATCCCTCTGTCTCCTCATCCCCGGCGTGCGGGCCTTCCCGCCCTCCCGGAGGCCCAGGCCTCGGGAACCCACCCCGCCCCATCCCGTCCCCCTCCCTCCCCCACCCGGTCCAACCTAACCCCGCCATCGGGAAGCCGGTGGGTGTGTCCCGCCCCGGACCCGGCGCCTGGCCAATGGCGCGGCGCGCCGGGGTGACTGCCGGCCAATCGGCGCGCGGCCTGAGGGCGGCGGTGCAGCGGGAGGGAGAAAGAGGGAGGGAAGCGAAGTTAGGTTGCGCCGCGCTGCGTGTTCAGCAAGGGTGGGGGTGGGGGAGCCGGGCCTAGGGGCCATGTGGAAGCTCCGGGCCCAGCTGCCCGCCCTGTGCGGACCCGGGCCGGCGTCTTCCTGCCCCGTAGCCCATGTGATTCAAATGCATCTACTTCTTAGAGCTCTACCCTTTCCTCTCTCTCCCTAGGTGTGTGCCCAGAGACAGGTCTGGCACCCGAATGCCTCTTGACCCTTTCCCGGGCAGTATTTCTCCCTTAACCTGCCTGATGATTCCTTCCCCAGTTTTCTTTTTAATTAATTCGATGAGTAGAGAATCTGTATCCAGACAGCAGGCCTCTAGAGGCTCACCCTAAAGATAGGGCCTGTTTCCAGATGAAATCAGAGGGAAGTTCCTCGTCTTTCATCACTTCATATTTAAGGGGTACAGGAAAAAGGAAGATAAGTCCCCTAGAGTCTGGGCTTCTGCCTAAAAATGTGTGGGGTAGGATGGTTGAAATAGCCTGGTGCCCGTATTGTTTCCTCTTATTGGTGACCCTCTCCTGTTGGGGGAATGGAGAGCAAAGGGAAAGGTGGCTCATGCTTGACATCTTTGAAAGGTGATAGGTAATAAGTCCGCAATCACACTAACCAAATGGATTTATTTGGATTAATTAGACAAATAATATAAGGGGAAAATAGTGAGGAGGCCTGTTTTATACAAGCTGCTCTCTTGAGTGATTCCCCCCCCCTTATATGTGATAGGTTTCATTACTACTTTTTTATTCTTAAATTTCCATAGAAAATATTCCCCTCCCCCCCACTGGTATAGATGGGTAGTATTTCCATTTGGAGTGTATTCCTGTTCCTGCTTTTGCTAATTGGCAAGAAGCCTTTTATGTGATTCCTGGCATTATTTAGTAGTATTAAGTTAATGAAATTTAAAGAGTTGTCTTCTGTGATTGCAGAACTTGGTGGTGGTAAGAAACTATCTGCTTTTGGCTTTCTCTGTTAACTTTTCAGGGAAGAAAAGCTTTTGGACAGAGCTTTTTGCAGGGTAAAGGACTGTGTTAAATTTTTTAAAAAACAAAGGGAGTAGTTTTGGGGCTCTGTGTTAGAAAAGATTGAGTGTGCTTTTTGGGAATCCACTATGTTTAGTGGTCAGTTCAAATCCAAAATGTATAGGAGCCTTTATTACGTAAATGTTGGCTATTAAATAATAAAGTCATTTGCTTTGACAGATTTACCATGACAATTTCTAAGTATCATCCCCCACCCCCAATCTCCAATTGATGAACACTCACAATTAAAATAGAGGGCTTGTTTTCTAAGTCTGTTTTTAGGTTTATAAGTAATATTCATACAAGATTATCTGCTTCTCTGCGATCAAAAGCCACTCGAGGGTGCCATTCCATTTGGACTGAGGTGTTGTTGTTTTTAAGTTAGAAATTTTTTTTACTTTTTACCCTGTCATAACACACCCATTTATTCAGTAACAGGCACTGTTATAGGTGCATTAAAAAAAAATAATAATCTGACTACGAGATTGTCAACCTTGCTTTAATTCTGGGGGATCTGATGTGACAATTTGGGCACGAAGAATGATGTTGATAGGAAAATCTGTAACTTGTTAAACGCTGAGGCTGCATGATTAGATAGATGACTTCCTTAATGTGATATTTTTACAGGAGCCTTGAAGTAGATATTTTGGAGTTTCCTGAGGCATTATGATATGTCCTAAAAAATTTAGGTTTTCCCCAGTGTGTTGATGCTTCATAAGCTATCCTCAGTTGACAGTTCTGAAGAGATATTTTCATTCACCAATGCATCTTTCTTAACAGCCCACGTTCCTTGTGGAACTGTCCAGAGTGCTAGCAAATCCAGGAAACAGTCAAGTTGCCAGAGTTGCAGCAGGTCTACAAATCAAGAATTCTTTGACATCGAAAGATCCAGATATCAAGGCACAATATCAGCAGAGGTGGCTAGCAATTGATGCGAATGCTCGACGGGAAGTCAAGAATTATGTAAGTAACTTTTGTCTCTTGGTCATGTAGCGTAGGGAACAAGAAAAATCTCTAGTCAGTTCTTTTATCATTTGCATGGGGTAGAGCTGATGGTATAATAGGTTTCTGGTACCTAAACTTCACTTGAAGATAAAAATTGTATTTGATTTGTATCATTTCAGCTTGTCCATTCCCATAAATGGATTGGAATTCTTTTAAGATCACTAAGGTAGACTGCAGCAGTTTGGAAACCTTTAGTTAGATGCCAGAATTTGTAGAATCTCTGGAGAATTGGAATAATATACAAATTGATGGTTCCCAAACTTGGAATATCCAAATCACTTAAGGAATTTGTTAATATGTTTTCAAGCTCCCTCCAGAAATTTTGATTTTGGAGTGTGAGACTCGGGGGTATTTTTTTAACCTGTCTTCCCAAGTGGTCCTTCCAGTCAGGCAGCGCCCAGCTCTTGTTGAAATTCTGCTATAGGTAATTCTCGCTGCTTGGTGGTTTAGGAATGCTACTATGTGGAATCACAAGGTGAATTCAATTATCTCTTGGACCATTGAAGCCCAGAGGATTTATGAAGCAAGATTGGCATTAGTGGTGCCAATCTTACATATTTAGCAAATTATGAAAAGCTTCCTTTAGAAATACCGGGCTTTTGATCAAGGCATTTAGGCTGATGGATTTTGTGGGAAATTGAATGTATCTTGTTACTCTGTATCATGGAGTTCTTGTGACTTTTTATTGTATTAGAAATTCATATTTTTAGATGTAACAAAAGATATGGAATATATGAACAGATGTGTTTTGCTTTTTTTTGTTGTTGTTAATTAAGTAATGGAGCTTTTTTTTTTTAACTGTCCTATATTAAGACAGAGAGTAAGTCACGCATCATTGGTCCTTGGTATTTGAGGAGGAACTAGTGGGGGATTCTTGTGTGTGTACTTGTGCAGGTGTGGTTATATACGTCTTATTTGCTATTTCTTGGTTCTAGGTGTCAGCATTAGGTACATTAACAACCCTTTCGGCAATAAGTTCTCTTTTCTAGTTATATACGTCTTTCTCCAGTCTTGCGTCCATATACTCATGACAAAGAATTAGGTTATGAAGGCAACTTATTTTGCATATTCTTTGAAATATGTAGAATTATTTTTATGCACATTGAGTCTGCTTATGTAGTAAAATTTTAATCCACCCTTCAGCAGTTTGATACAAATGAAGTTTATTTCATCAATCACTGCAAATCTTGATTTCTGTGCTGTAGTGCCCAAATTGAGATATGACATAATTAGAACTGTAACTGACTTATTGTTTATTTATTTTTAAAATAAATTTTTATTGATTTCAGAGAGAAAAGGAGAGAGAAACATCAATGAGAGGATCATTGATTGGTGTTGCCCCCTAATGGAGATCGAGCCCACAACCTGGCCATATGCCCTTGATCAGAATTGAACCTGGCACCCTTGAGTCCGTAGGCCAACCCTCTATACACTGAGTCAAACTGGCTAGGGCCTGACATTTTTTTGTCACATCAAAAAAAATCTTGACCCAAAAGTTTCTTTCTTTCTTTTTTTTTTTTTTCCAAAACTGAGAGAGTACAATCTGGAACCATTTCCAAGGTTTAAGAAGAGATTTTTAAAAATATATATTTTATTGATTTTTTACAGAGAGGAAGGGAAAGAGACAGAGAGTTAAAACATCGATGAGAGTGAGTCATCGGTCAACTGCCTCTTGCACACCCCCTACTGGGGATGTGCCCGCAACCAAGGTACATGCCCTTGACTGGAATCGAACCCGGGACCCTTCAGTCCCCAAGCCGACGCTCTATCCATTGAGCCAAACCAGTTTCAGCTTGACCCAAAAGTTTCTCTGAAATTTGAATAAGAACTTGTTGAGCCCTTGTGCATGAAGAAAAAAATAGCAGTTATTGCCCAGACAGTGTGGCTGGCTGGTTGAATGTTGTCCTATGAACCAGGTCAGGGCACATGTCTGAGTTTCTGGGCTTGATCCTCAGTAGGGGGCATGCAGGAGGCAGCTGATCAGTGATTCTCATCATTGATGTTTCTCTCCCTCTCCCTCTCTGAAGTAAAAAAATACACACACACACAGCAGTTATCTTGGCTTTTCCCTTTTATAGCACATTTTGGCCATTAATGCCTCCTCAATGCTGGTGGTTATTTTTTGAAATCTGGGTCTTGGACACAATTGAGAACTGGTTTCTTATTTTTCTTATTTCAGGTTATTACCTATCATAAGGATCACCCCTAGTTTTTTTAAAAACATAACATAAAAATGTGACCCTGCTGTAGAGCCTAAGACCATCGAAAAACACAGATATTTACATTACAATTCATTAACAGTAGCAAAATTACAGTTAGGAAGTAGCAACGAAAATAATTTTAAGGTTTGGGGTCACCACATCATGAGGAACTATATTAAAGGGTCGCGGCATTAGAAAGGTTGAGAACCGCGGCCTTGGACTTTTGACATACAGTTCTATTACAGTGCACTCCAGCTTTAGTAGCCCTAGAGAGCAAAACCTTTATTTAGAATCAGAGCTGCTTGATTATTGGTTAGAGCTGTTGGGAGTATACTGTATAAGGGGGAAAGATTGGGGGGGGGGGGGTCATTATTATTAGCTACAAAGCAGGATACTGAGTGACCTGACCCAGTCAGCAGAGTTGGCCTGAATAATTGGCAGCTCCTCTTTGTCCTGTGCTCATGCCAGGAACAGTTAACTGTTTGCCTTTTGAGTGGACTGGTGATTCTTAGTTCATTGACTAAATAAGCTGAATATGATAATAATTAACCCTGCATCCATTGTCGCTTCAGCCTTTATCTGTACGTGTGTCTTTACCCTTTACATAAGCGCTTGTATGATTAGCATTTCAAACAAGGTATGTTGAATGCTAAGTGGATTTCATTTTAATTGGCGTATTTGACTAGTACTTGGTATCTGTTGACGGTGGAGAGAACAGTTCTTTAATTTTGTGGGAAACAGATCAAATCCTTTCAGATTGGAGTTAAAGGATTGGTTCTTAAGTGTTGGTAACATCAGTAACTTTATGTCTGTATCTAATGATCTTACTATGAAAGTCACCCAGGGTGCTAAATTGTCAATGACTAGAAGACAGAAGGTGTGTTCCACATTTCATGAGTGGGAAAATCTCGTCCTTGAATCAGGTTAAATTAGGAATCAGATCCATTTGAGTGCCCCAGAGTTGGTTAACTTCATCCTAAAATCCCACCCTTCACACAAAACAAAGCTGTGAGCATCCTTCCATTATACCAGCAAGGAACATAGAAGACTCATTTGGTCATCTCTTTCTCCTTTTAATGCTATCTCAGTGCTGCTTTTCTGCTTTGAGTTGAACATTGAAATGAGTTGTCTGGCTTTGGAGAATTCCATTTGGAAGTAGGGGTTGGGCTTTTGTTTGTTTGTTTTCTCCTGGGGTCTAAGGTTGATTGTGCTAGTATTGGTATTGAGACTGGCTTTTTTTCCTTTTTCTGACAACTGACTTGTACTGTATATGCCAATTTCTATTTTTTTGTGTTATTGAAAACTCAGAGATTGATATGAGGGTTTAAATAGTATTAGAAATTAATATCTTTCATCTTGCTTTTTTGGTGTATGTGTGTGCATGCAGGTTTTGCAGACTTTGGGCACAGAAACCTACCGGCCTAGCTCAGCCTCGCAGTGTGTGGCTGGCATTGCTTGTGCGGAGATCCCCGTGAACCAGTGGCCAGAACTCATTCCTCAGCTGGTGGCCAATGTCACAAATCCCAACAGCACAGAGCACATGAAAGAGTCAACATTGGAAGCTATTGGTTACATTTGCCAAGATATTGTAAGTGATGCCTCATCTTATCTAACATACATAGCTACGATTTCATCTAGTTGTTACGTGCACATATTGGAATGATGTTTACTGTATTATAAAGAAAACTAAGCTACTGCAAAGTGTTTTGAAAGTAAAACTGCTTTATCTGTTCATTTAGCTCCTAAATTAACTTACCCTCACATTGTTAATCATGTACTAAAATTAAGAGCCTTGAGGGTCAAAAACTCCATGTGTTTGGAGAGACAGATTCTGGACTTTTAAGGATATTCTTTATCTTGGAGCATCCCTGATCTGACCCTTTCTCAAGATCCTTAGTGTGCCATGGATGCTGTTACATTTTCACTGACTGTTTTATAGAAACAGTTTGCCAGCTCTTGTAATTGGTTTAGTCATTGGAGCCACAACACAGTATATTAAATGCAGCCTTCCTAGGACTATTGGTGCTGCTCACGTTACCACTCTTGGTGTCTGAGGTTTGTATGTGTTGGGGGGGGGGGACTGTTTTGATACACAGACTTGAAGCATAGAAGTCCCTAGCACTTGACATGAGCTTGGACTCCCTAATATGTGCCTAGGTGTTGATCCTTGGCACTCAGATGTTCTGAAGCTATACTTCAGTTGGGAGAGGTGACCTGGGGACAAGGGGAGGGATCACACTGTCATTTCCATTTGCACAAAACGGGGGAAACAGTATTGCCTCATGTCCAGAATCATGCTAAGAAGTCAGATATAAAGTTGATAAGTTTAACGTGTTTCGGATCAATTTGGGACTACCAGGCGCTGGGATATTTTGACCCTATATGGAAATATGTGCTGAAAGATCAGAGAAAGTCATTATCCTCACTCAAGTGGATTTTACACTTAAAAAGACGGCTGATTAGTCATGAGTTCATTATTATATTTACTGCGCTTCTGCTCGTTTCAGGACCCAGAGCAGCTACAAGATAAATCCAATGAGATTCTGACTGCCATAATTCAGGGGATGCGGAAAGAAGAGCCTAGTAATAATGTGAAGCTAGCAGCTACTAATGCACTGCTGAACTCATTGGAGTTCACCAAAGCCAACTTTGACAAAGAGGTGAGTGCCTTTTGGCGTAAGTTCAGAGGGTGAGAAGTGAGAGTTAAATGAAAGTTTTTAAGTTTATGACTTAGAAAGGACTGTTTTGTTTAGAGGCATTCGTTTCTTTCTTTTTTTGAAATCATAGGAGCATTTATTCCAGTACTGCTGGTAGTATGGGAAAGCAGTAGGTCATCCACAAAAATCTGCTCTGCAGCTCCCCCATGAACAGCGGCTTCTATGGGGAAGTAGGGATTGCAGGCATGGGGAAGTAGTAGGCTGGGGGTGGAGCCCACTGTTCGGGCAACATGATTGTTAATCTTTGCATGATAACAGGCAGTTCTTGAATAAGAATGGCTCCAAGGTTGATTCCCAGGTCCTGGGTTGACGGAGGCATTCATTTCTAGTTAACATTTGTGAGATGTGGCCTTGGAATAGGTGTTTGCCATTTTTAATCAGTCTTTGGGAATAATGTGACCTGAAGGATTTCTAAGCTTAGGTTTTTCCTTTTGCAGTACAAAGTGTACTTGGGAATCCTCCTCACCCCCCCTAACTCCCTTGATTGTAGAATTTGGGCTTTTCTTCTCTGACCAGTGTGGCTGAGTTGGTGCACCCTCCTGTGCTCCAGAAGGTGGGGGTTTGATTCCTGGTTGGGCAGTTAGGGGGTGAGCCAGTCGATGTTTCTCTCACATTAGTGTTTCCTTCCCTTCTTTCTGAAATAAATTTTAAAAAAAAATCCTTGGATAAAGATTAAAAAAGAAAAGAAACTGGGGAGGAAGGTGCTTTTAAAAAATATATATTTTTTTTATTGATTTCAGAGTGGAAGGGAGAGAGAGACAGAAACATCAATGATGAGAGAGAATCACTGATTGGCCACCTGCTGCATGCCCCCCACTGGGGGTTGAGCCTGCAACCTGGGCATATGTCCTGATCATTGAGCCGGTGACCTCTTGGTTCCTGGGTCTACGCTCAGCTGCTGAGCCACACCCAGCTGGGCTGAGGAAGGTGCTTTTGAAAATTAAAATATAAACAAAGTTTATTTTGCCTGAAAGTATTTTCTCATTATTTTTAATTGTGTTAAAATAGACAATAACATAAAATTTACCATCTTAACCATTTTTAAATGTACAGTTCGGTAATAAGTGTATTCACATTATTTTGCAACCAATTTCCAGAACTTTTTCATCTTGCAATTGAAACTATATCCATTAAACAACACCTGTTTTCCCCTTCCCTATTCCTGGCAACAATCTTTCTACTTTCTGTTTCTATGATTACTTAACTTTCTGTTTTTGTGATTACTTTAGATAGCTTATATAAGTGGATCATGCAATATTTGATTTGTCTTTTTGTGACTGTTTTATTTCACTTAGTATAATGTCTTGAGTTCATGCATGTAGCATGTATCAGAAGTGTTGACCCATGAACCAAGAGGTCGCTGGTTTGATTCCCAGTTAGGATACATGCCTGGGTTTCTGGCTCTATCCCCAGTAGGGGGTGTGCAGGAGGCAGCCAATTGATGTTCTGCTCTCAGATCACCTCAGTGTTTCTAGCTCTCTTCTCCCTCTCCTTTCCTCTCTAAAAATCAATAAAAACAAAAAAATATATATATAATATTCCATTGTATGTATATACCACATTTTGTTTACCCATTTATCTGTCACTAGACAATTTGGGTTGCTTTTTTCCACCTTCTATCGAGAATAATGCTACTATCAACATGGGTGTGTGTGTCGGGGGGGGGATTACATAGATCTCTTTGAGACCCTGCTTTCAGTTCTTTTATATGTACACCCAGAAGTGGAATTGCTAGGTTATATGGTCTAAAGGTATTTTTGTATATATTTTGGCACTTTAGCTGGGATTTTTGCCATTCCTTGGCCTTATAGTGGACAAAGAAGGGAGGCCAAAGCTAACTGAAATTCTAATTGCTTAGGAAATAGGGATTTTCCTTTTAGATTTCAGAAGATTTAGGACAATAGCAAAGTTCATTCTATATCTTGCTGCATTTACTCTGAAATAAAGCAGTTGTTTTGAATTATCTTAATTTTTAAATACAAAGAAACAGATTTTCCTACTGTAGGTGTGTTTTTTTAATCTTCACCCAAGGAATTTTTTTAGAGTGAAATGGGGGGGTGGAGGGGACATCAGTGTGAGATTGATGATTGCCTCCTGCACACACCGTGATCAAACCTGCAATCCAGGTCAATACCCTTGACCAGGAATCTAACCCAAACCCTTCCATCCACTGAGCCAAACAAGCTAGGGTGGGGCTTCCTTTGAGGGTAGGCCATATAGTAGACACTGGGCAAACGATAGCCTTCACGGTGCTAGTACTGTGTCAACGTAAAGCTGCTTGATTGGTCCGGGATTTGTGGGTTCTGGAGGGAGTAAGGTTTTTCTTGAAATAATAGTCTAACAATTTTCATAGATATGGTTTAAACTCTTCTAATTCCCTTTTACTTCTGCAGTCCGAAAGGCACTTTATTATGCAGGTGGTTTGTGAAGCCACACAGTGTCCAGATACGAGGGTAAGTATGAGGTCATTGAATAATATGGCTTGTCTACTTTCCTAGGAAATGCCAACTCTAGCATTGTAGTTTGAAATGTTGAGAATCAGGTGACTTCAGAAATAAGGTTTGACCAATAAGAATTTCTCTTCAACATTAAAGAAAAGGGAAGAACAGGATTTGGAAAGTTAACATATTAAAAACTGACATCTTGAAAAGGGTTTGGGGAGAAATGGTTTTTGATCCGCTTTGCTGCTTAATTGCAGTAGTTTTTTAATTGTTTTCTAGCGTAGCCATTGAAACAGCTTTGCTATTGCTGTAACCTAATCTTGACTCTTGAAGTAACATTCTAGTCTAAGTGGTATTAGTAAGTTTTGTCCTGCTATGGCTTGCATGGGGGAATGATAACCCAAAAGTACCTAGTTTGACCCTTTAGGTTATTGACCCATTTGAGTGAAGTAGTTACTTTTGTCTAATTGCCTTTTTAAACTGAATGGTAAATCGTTTAATCTCTTTGTAAAAGGTTCGAGTGGCTGCCTTACAGAATCTGGTGAAAATAATGTCCTTGTATTATCAGTACATGGAGACATATATGGGTCCTGCTCTTTTTGCAGTAAGTATTTCTATTTTATGTGTTTGAGCATGTAGCTAATTGCAAATTCCATCATTCTTATTGGGTGTTTTTGTGAATTCTGTAATTTTTTACTTGCAATTATAAATCAAGAAAATTTCTTGAGTTCCAGTGTTATGTGTATGTTCATTAATAGTGTGCCAAGAAAGCTTGTACTGTTTCTTCTGGTAAAAAGAGTATATATTTTAAAAAATATGTTTCCTCTTTCTACCTTTCACTTTAGACAGCTTTTATAAATCTACATTTTTGAAACTTGAATGAATGTGGTTAGAGGAGGGGTCTAACTTGAACCAGCACTTATGTGGGGCCTGGGTTGCCATGTTTTTTTCTCTTAAGATCACAATTGAAGCAATGAAAAGCGATATTGATGAAGTGGCCCTGCAAGGGATAGAATTCTGGTCCAATGTGTGTGATGAGGAAATGGATTTGGCCATTGAGGCTTCAGAGGTGAGCCTGGGAGACGGTTGGTTGGGGGGCTGTTACTCTGCCTGGGCTTTGGGGATATATCTCCTTTGTGGATACGATTGTTCTCCTCTGGGAAAGCTTTATTTTGACTGGACTTCGTGAGTATCTCCATTTGTACAACTTGTTATTTTTCTGCTAGCCAAAGCCACCTTTGAAAGACTGATCAATCATGTTTCATCTCATGTTTTTCCCAATCAGCCTGGCATGATTTATTATACTCCTTTTAGTATTGTGACCACAAGGGGGCAGCAGGCAACCACAGTTCAACCAAGTGACATCTGGTGCTAAAGTACTTCCTTTTGGAAGTCCTAATGCAAATATGGAATGTAGAAATGGATAGTTTACTAACTTCAAATAAGAAATTAGATATGGAAGGGGGGGTAGTTATGTACTTGAAATATTTGTTTCCCATCTTGATTGTCTTTGTGTACTTCAAAAAACACAAAAAAATCTTATTTTGGCATTCTTAAGGTTATAGATAAATATGAGCTTATGAAAAAAGAGTGTAATTCCTACGGCCTAAGAGGATCTCATTGACGTAGACCAAAAAATAAATGCCTTCAAAGATCATAGCGAGTGTCACCATTGGGTCCATGTATTTCTGTGCAGACCCTGGGCAGCTCTCAGTGTGTGCCTTAGTGTCATAGCTTGTGTCTTGCCATCCAGAATTTGCTCTGTTTGTCCTCAGGCAGCAGAACAAGGACGGCCCCCTGAGCACACCAGCAAGTTTTATGCCAAGGGAGCACTACAGTACCTGGTTCCGATCCTCACACAGACACTAACTAAACAGGTGAGTTACCTTCCAGTTCTAGCCAGGTAAGTGAAACCTTGCTATGGGTTGGTTTGCTGTGGAACAGTTTCCAAGAAAGAATTCAGCACTCTTCAACTAGTTGGTACTTTGATATAGATGACTTGGGAACTGCTGAGCTGGATCTATAAATCCTCTAGGCTGAGTTGTTTGCAGTTTTGAGCAGGAATGAACCACATACTGCTCTGATTTCCTGAGTGCTACGTTGTTCAAACTAGCAGAAGAGACCTGAGCTACAAATTTTTATATGAAGTGTACCTTGGTTGTGATCGTTCCCGTTTGAATTTATGCCTTACAGTTTTCCTTGGTGAGGTGTTGGGAAGAATTGTTTCTATTGCCTCATCTCTTCTGGTGCATGTAAAATGTTACCAAAGAGCTGGCAGTACTGGTGCTCTGAGGCAGTTGTGCTGTAACTTCCAGCAGAATGTCTCTGTGCACTAGGATATAATTTGGTTTGGGGGAGTACATGACTCTCGCTCTCAGAAGATAAGTGGAGATGTGTCTGGTGTGAAATGGGCTAGGTGTTCCCTTAAAATTTTATCTCATCTCTCGGCTTTATAGTTGCTGTTTTTTATCTTTTGACCTTAGTATTTTTGCTTTTGTTTGTTTTGGTTGTACTTTTCTGATTTGGGAACAAATCATCATTTAGGTATGTAATTATCTGAAACTGCATAGGCACCTTAAACTACTATGTAAATAACTAGAATCATGTATACATTTTTGTTTCAATCTATAAGTCTGAGATCATTCTTCTTGTTACATGTAGTTATGTTGGTTCATCTCATTGTGTAATAAATACTCCAGGGGCTTTTCCCTCACCTGGATCTTACTTAACAAATCTGTGCTGTGATGAATCTCTGGAAGTGCATTGACCGCCAGGGGGAAAACACTTAATGCAGGAGCTGCCCCCTGGTAGTCGGTGTGCTCCCACAGCCAACCTCCTGGTCTGGCCAACCTCCTACAGACCATCCCCCTGCTGGCCGGCCAACCTCCCATAGCCCCAATTGGCCCTGATTGCCGGCCAGGCCGAGAGACCCATACGTGCACCAATTCATGCACTGAGCTACCTCCAGGGGATAGGCGCTCAATGCAAGAGCTGCTGAGCTGCAGTGACTTGGCAGCTGTGGTTCTCAGGTGATACACCCGGAACCAGAGAAGAGGGAGCCTGATTCTAAGATGTATCACCTGAGAACCGCCCTCTCGAAAACTGGGACCCCCTCAGGAGAGGTTGGAGAGCCGGTTTCTGCCTGATCTCCACATGTCAGGCCGAGGGACCCCACTGGTGCACGAATATATGTGCCACGCCCCTAGTAAATTATAAAGGTTTTGTTTTATTTCCATCCACAAAGCTTAAGTTCTAATGACCCTTGGGAATAGCCAGAGTACCTTGTGAATGAAAGTGATTGTCTTTCCTTTTTTCTTTTTTTTTTTTCTTTTCTTTTTTTAAGCAAAAACTTAACTAGTGCTACATTCTTTCTCCAGGATGAAAATGATGATGATGATGACTGGAATCCCTGCAAAGCAGCCGGAGTGTGCATCATGCTTCTGGCCACCTGCTGTGAAGATGACATTGTCCCTCATGTCCTCCCCTTCATTAAAGAACACATCAAGAACCCTGATTGGCGGTACCGGGATGCAGCAGTGATGGCTTTTGGCTGTATTTTGGAAGGACCAGAGCCCAATCAGCTCAAACCACTAGTTATACAGGTGAAGCTGCGGAAGTTTTGGGGTGGGAAGTGAGATATTTATTGTTTGTTTAAATTATTTGCTTGAAGGTGTGCCTTTATTTTTAAAAAGCTGTAAGGAGTTACCCACAAAAGTTACTTGTGGATAGCTATTTGCTGCCACTGAAGGGTAAAAGATATTTCTTTGTGAATGTTCAAAATACATATTTAATTGTTCTTTATTATAAAAAAGACGTAACTTTTGAAAAATGCATAGACCAAATGAACAAGTCATCTCTAATTCTCTTGTCTAGGGATAACATTCTAACTCTTGGTATTAATTCTTGTAGTCTTTTTCAGTATGAATATAATATGTGCAACAGGATGGAGATCTTACTGTGCAAATAATCTCTTAACTTGTTTTTTCTCTTAATGTATCATAAAAATTTCTTTATAATTTTTAATGATGCAACTATTCGGTCCCTAGGACAAAATGACATTTATGTAATGAAAATTCTTCTGGAAATATTGTACTTAACTTTGCTATTTAAGATGACAGGTGTCCATTATAATTGAGTTTAGTATGTAGAGAACTGAACCTTTCACTGTATAGCCAAATGTCATCAAAGCTGCTTCCTGGGATCTCCCCCTAAGTGATTTAGTAAGGACTGCTTGCTGAAAAGTCTCACCAAAGCCTGAAGAAAACTGTCCTGGAATTTGGTGGAGAGAGGAGGACTTTTCACTTTACTTACTTGCATTTATTATATTGCTGGATATTGGACAAGCATGTCTTTAAAATGACAAAAGCATCTTGATGCTTGAGTTGAAACCTAACCATTAGAATTTCCTCTTCTGAGGTATTAATCAACATGAGTTTTAATCTTTGTTTTGCCTTGCTAATAACTATTGTATTTTCAGGCTATGCCCACGCTAATAGAATTAATGAAAGACCCCAGTGTAGTTGTTCGAGATACAACTGCATGGACTGTGGGCAGAATTTGTGAACTGCTCCCTGAAGCTGCCATCAATGATGTCTACTTGACTCCCCTGCTGCAGTGTCTGATTGAGGGCCTCAGTGCTGAACCTAGAGTGGCTTCAAATGTGTGCTGGGTAAGGGAATTCTTCCTGACTAGCATCTCCTTTCTAATTTCTTCAATTAAATGTGGGGGAGATGTCAACTGCATTAGCCAGTGGGAGCTGTTGACTCATAGTGACTGGTTCAGTTCCTCAACCATTTAAAACAGTCATGCTAGCCCAGTGGGAAAACTATCTGGACTCCATTTTCTTTCTTCAGTTGCTTGGGGAGAAGAAATTAGATTAAAGTGGAGAGTTGCTGGCTACAGAAAGTACAATTGCTGAGAAGGGGGCGAGAGGAAAGGAAGGTAGGCGGTGGAAGTGCTGAATCAATATGGCCGAATGTAGTTCACTAGGGACCTTTGGGGGTGGGGGAGGAAGTTCAAATAAGGAAAAGTGGGGCCTAAAGCCTTCCTGTGATTAGAAGCAGAAGTGCAGGCATTTGTGGTAGGTGAACGTACTCTGCTGCTTAGAGAGTTTTGGGCAGCACAAGCAGAATATAAATAAGTAAACATTTAATTTTAAGGACCCCTATAAAATGTTGTTTTGAGATGACCTTGACCGGAAAAGTTGAGAATTCACTAGCATTGATATATTCTTAGATCAGTTGCAGAGGAACACTGCCCAAGGTGTATCTCAAGGAAAAATGAGGTAGTCCTGGGGCAGGGTTCTTCTTAGGACTAGTATTAACTCTCTTTGGTTTTAAGGCTTTCTCTAGCCTGGCGGAAGCTGCTTATGAAGCTGCAGATGTAGCCGATGATCAGGAAGAACCAGCTACCTATTGCTTGTCTTCTTCTTTTGAACTCATAGTTCAGAAGCTCCTGGAGACCACAGACAGGTAACTTCTTACTCTTGGTGTCTACATTCAGCTCCTGCCTTCTGGGGGAGGAGGGGATGTCTAATCCAGTCATAGAAACATAGTAGGAGGAATTTTAAAAATCCGGTAATTATTTGTTTAAATAAGAGAAGAGAAAGAAGTGTAACTAGGATTGTTCAGCTTCCAGTTAAAGTCAGAAAATAGTCTCATTTCTTAGAGAGTAATCTAGAGTCATTTTTGCAGTGCCTACCGCTAGCAGGACTGTTTGATTATGGTGTAAGAGAAATAGTAGCTCTTGTGATGAATTTTGTTGCCATGTGAGATCATTAATTATCATTTATGATATTAGATGCAAAACTTATTAAATGCAGTTGTTTTGTAAAAGAGCATTGAAATGTAGTTTTAAGGGGTTACAAGTTGGGGACAGCTTTGAATTATTTTGGTTTTGTGTGAACTATACTTACTAAGGCCATGCTCAAAAGAAATCATTAAGGCCGGGCCAGTGTGGTCAGTGGTTGAGCATTAACTGATGAACCAGGAGGTCACAGTTCCATTCCCTGTCATATGGGCTCGTCCCCAATGGGGATATCGATATGCAAGAGGCAGCCAAACAATGATTCTCTCTCATCAGTTATGTTTCTATCTCTCCCTCTTCATTCCTTTCTGAAATTAATAAAAATATTTTTTTAAAAGAAAAATCCATTAATGAAGAGGGCTATGTATAAATTCTTCAGGCTTACCTTGTTTATTTCACACTTCTCTGTTCAAAATTTAAAGGCATCTCAAAGATCAATGAGGAAAATCTAGATGCCTTTTTTTTTTTTTTTTTAAGCTACTCAGGCAACCTCTTTAATTGTCCACATAGGTGGTTCTTCATTTTTATCTTTTTCTTATAATTATAGCCTATTTCCAAAATGCCATTCAATACTTTAACCAAGTCTGGAGACCATAATAAGCATAGTCATTGGCTCAAAGTTTGGAAATTTATTTCCTGGCTGCATTTTGTTGCCAAACTCAAATAGGTATACCACCATATCAGTTTCTGAGTTCTTTAGTAGTTGAAACACACAAAATTATTATTATTATTATTTTTTTTTAGGTATATTTTTACTGATTTTTATAGAGGAAAGGAGAGAGAAACAAACATCTGCGGAAAACATCTGGTTATCTCCCACACACACCCTGATCAGGAATCGAACCCATAACCCGCTTATGTGCTCTGACTGGGAATTGAACTGGTGACCTTTTGGTACACTGGATGGAGGACGCTCAACCATCTGAAACATAGCAGCAAGGGCCTGATTTCTTCTTTTTGATGAAACAATGTTTACCTTGTAACAATTTCTGTTCTTTCTCAATTGGGACTTTTGCTGTTTTTTGCTTGCAGACCTGATGGACACCAGAACAATCTGAGGAGTTCTGCATATGAATCTCTGATGGAAATTGTGAAAAACAGTGCCAAGGATTGTTACCCTGCAGTTCAGAAAACTACTTTAGTCATCATGGAGCGACTTCAACAAGTACTTCAGATGGAGGTGAGACAGGGCATTCCTGGCTGTTGGCAGAAAGGGTGCAGTACTTACTTCTAACACAGCTTTGCTTTCAAGGCTGTTCTTTTCGGTGTTTAAGTATATATTTTCTCAGAAAGATAACGCTTATGCAAAAAAAGTATTGTAATTTAAAGTTTGCATTGCTTGTCACAGTTTACTCATAAATGTGGTGGTGTTTGTTTTTATTGATTGATTTGTGGGAGAGAAAGCAACATCAGATTATTGTTCCACTTATGTATTCATTGGTTCCTTCTTGTAAGTGCCCTGACCTGGAATCAAACCCACAACCTTGGGGTATTGGGAGAACACTCAAACCCAGCAGTCGCCAACCTTTTGGACCTCAGGACCACCAGTGGTCCACCAACCGCCAGTTCGAGACTGCTGCTTTAACCAGCTGAGCTGCTGACCCCAGGGCATACGCGTTACTTTTATTTACTTTCCTACATTAGCATCAGTAAAACTTACTTAATGGTCTTTATTTAATGCAAACCCAGCGAAAATGGAAACAATGAGGGACTTTAGAGCCTCTTTAAAAGGTGTTTATTCAGAACATGATCCTTTTTTCCTTGTAGTCACATATCCAGAGCACATCGGACAGGATCCAGTTCAATGACCTTCAGTCTTTACTCTGTGCAACTCTTCAGGTATGATGGTGCCATCTCACACTCTCCAGGGAAGAGAATCCTATCTCAGGATAACAAGTTTATGTACACCTTGAACTCTGAGATGCAGGTGCTGAGGGTTTTTTCACTAAAGAACAGGAAAACTCTGGAACTTGCCTGATGCTTAGTGGGTGGGCCCTAGATTTTAGTATTAAGTGATGCTGTTCGGTGTCCTTACCTGTGAACTCCCCTCTCTTTCTCCAAACTTAATTTTTTAAAAATATTTTATTGGTTTCAGAGAGAAAGGGAGAGGGAGAGATAAAAACATCAATGATGAAAGGGAAGCACTGATTGGCTGCCTCCTGTATGCCCCACACTGGGATCGAGCCTGCGACCCGGGCATGTGCCCTGACTAGGAATTGAACCGTGACCTCCTGGTTCATAGGCTGATGCTCAACCACTGAACCATGCTAGCTGTGCCAAACTTAGTTTTTTTAAAGCATGACTGTTAAGAGGTGTTTCCTTATTCATCTGACAAATACAGGAATTATGCAGTAGCATTAATTGAAACAAAGGTTAAGGAGGGAAGTTGGCAGAATTTTAAATTAGGAAAAGTCAGGTTGGCTTCATTTTATCAAGACTGTTTCTTGACCATTAGGCTATATGAAGGGTTGTTATTGTTTTGTGAGCAAGTATACTATATGACATATTCTTTAAGGCGGAAGTAATAAGACTGGAATATGGGAACTGCTGATGGGTTTGTCAGACATAAAGAGTTGGTTTTATGCACATGGAAGATCATGTGTGTTCTGAATTGGGAAATAGGGTATTAGAATATATGTTGCAAGTGATTTGCACTGTCAAAAAACATTTGAGCATAAAAGACATATTTGGCCTTTTATATTTAACCTGACCTGCGGATATATTTTACATTGCTTTTTCAGAGAGAAATGGAGGGAGGGGGGGAGAGAGAAACATCCATTTGACTGGCTGTCTCCCACACACACCCCACCTAGTGTGCCGGCTGACGCTCTAACAACTGAACCATGCCAGCCTGGGCAGTGTATTTGGCTTCTTTAAGGAAAAATTTCAAGAGACTTAATTTTTTTTTTTTTTTTTTTTTTTTAAGTATAGTGTTCTGATTGGAGGGTTTGGAATAAACAGCCTGACCTCTTGTTCATTTCACAGAATGTTCTCCGGAAAGTGCAACATCAAGATGCTTTGCAGATCTCTGATGTCGTCATGGCTTCCCTGTTAAGAATGTTCCAAAGCACGGCTGGGTCAGGGGGAGTTCAAGAGGATGCTCTAATGGCAGTTAGCACACTAGTGGAAGGTCAGTGAGTCCAAATCAAGCAGGGGATGTTTTTAGAAGGCAAGAGATACAATGGCCTTGGAGAATTTTTTACTGTGGAAAGCATAGTTGTGTTTTCTCATTTACTGCGGCATGAGTCAGTTCAGAGTTAAATTGAATGTAATTGTAAAATTGTGCATGACTGCCTTGCCTCTTATTCTCCTTGAAGTAAATGGGGAGCCAGTTTGCAAATCAGAGTGCAACCTTTTGGGGGGAAACTTATCATCTACCTAATGTGTGTTGTGTTTCTGTTCTCCCTGAAAGTCTACTTGATTATTGAGGTTTGGCTCCTCTCAAGGATAGAGAACTTTAGCTCCTGGTTTGTCGGGTGGTAATGCTTTAGACTCAGGTTGACACATCTTAGTGTCTGGTCTGGGGTGGAATAAAACAGTGAGTGAGTTCTTGGAATTTCTGGTTGTTACATGACTTAAGCCACATCAGACTTAAGGGTCGTTAAAAATACATTAAAGAGCAGTTTAGAAACCTGGAATGCTTCTTTAGGCGATGCCTGTACGTGAGAACCACTCCCCTGAGGACCAAACCTATTTCTAGCTCAAAGAGCATGTGTCTCACTGGTCTGGTCCATGTGACCACCCTCACAGCACAGTGGTTCATTCTGGCTCCTGGAGTAGCTGATTTGGATATGAGTCCCAGTCTGCTTGTCCTGACTGGCTTAAGTAAGTCCTTAATGGAATTGCCTCGGGACCCCGTTGTAAGCTGGCTTCCAAAGAGGACATGTTAGAATCAGATGAAGAGGTAGACAAGAGGCAATATTGCTAGCTCAGCCAATTCAAATTAACCTTGATATTCCTAGGAGGCCCCACCGCTTGGTGGTTTGAGCCAGAGTGAAATCCTAATCTGTGGCGATGTGGCGTGAAGTTAGACCTTTCCAGCAGTTAGAATGGTTTATCTGAGGCAGCTTTCATGTCTTAATGATAGTGGAGTGAGTATGTTGGGACGGCGGGCCTGGTTGTTTTGCTCACTCTGACATCCTGGACGGTGACTGTCTGTTTGCAGTGTTGGGCGGCGAGTTCCTGAAGTACATGGAGGCCTTCAAACCCTTCCTGGGCATTGGGCTCAAGAACTACGCCGAGTACCAGGTGGGCCGAGCGTTCCAAACATAGTGACCTTTGAACTGCGTGGGTCTCCTTGTATGCAGACTTTTTAATACGTTGGGAATTTTTTTTTTGTTGAGATTTGCAACAGTTTGAAAAAACCTGCAGACATGGATCACGTAGCCTAGAAATATTAGAAAATTAAAAGAAAATTAGTTGTGCCATGAATGCATAAAGTACATGTAGATACTACTTTATTTTATCGTTTACTATCACAAAATTATTTGTCTGTTTTAGATAAACTTTATCAAAAGTTATATACATAAATAGATACATGGCAACAGTCCAGAGAAATGCAAACAAACGTAAAGATGCAATATTTAATCATAATTATTTGAAATTAAAGCAGAACTATTACTGTGATATTTCATAGCCTCCTTCTGTTGCCATTGCAGCATGCTCCAGTGTTGAGAAAAGGTGATATGTGGATTTTGGACTGTACTGGGGTTGGAACTCCAACCCCCCACATCATCCAAGGATCAATTATAATGCCTTTATATTCTCATTTCTACCTAATAGTCGTTCTGGTACAAACTCGGTTTCCTGTAGCACAGGTAGTTCTTCCCTGTGTGTGGACCCAGGTGTTGAGCTATTTTATTTGCTGCTCTTTGTGTCTGATCTAAAAGTAGCCACTGAGAAGCAGGAGAGTAGCTGCACCAAAACAGAGATGTGTGTGTTTTTTCCCCCCAAGCCCCCTGCCTCCACCACCACCATCTCTGGTGAATATTGTCTTTTTCTTAGTGATATTTCTGATAGTCTCAGTTCTCTTCCTGCCATATTCATTAAAATGAACAAATCTCAGAGAGGAGGGATGTTTTTCCTTTGACTCTAGGTTCAAATGTTAAAGGACCAGCAGCTAGGTAAACAGTGCTTAACTCCTCCCTGCAGGCAGTCTTTTCTGTTGGGAAATCATGCTCTTGCTCCTCTGCAGGTCTGCTTGGCAGCGGTGGGCTTAGTGGGAGACCTGTGCCGCGCACTGCAGTCCAGCATCCTGCCTTTCTGCGACGAGGTGATGCAGCTGCTGCTGGAGAACTTGGGGGTGAGTGAGTGAGGTGCCCCCCCGTCCACCAGCCTCTGGGAGGCCTCAGGCCCCACAGCATGGCTGTGGGCTTATGAAGAAGGGAATTACTCATTTTCACAAGACAATTCTAGAGTCAGATTATAAAATTAAAGGAAAGCATGGAACTTGGAGAGGAAAACCAGTACAGTGCCAAGGAAAAGTAAATATAGAATCCCTCTCTCCAGAGGTAACCGTTGTTAAGTTGTATTAATACTTGCTTTTTTTTTTTTTTTTTTTTTTTTTTTTTTTTTAAGAGTTTGTGTCTTGGGTAGAACAGATTGTGACTTTTAATAAATTGCTTTTCCTGGTTATTTTTCCTTGTCAGAATGAAAATGTCCACAGGTCTGTGAAGCCACAGATTCTGTCCGTGTTTGGTGATATTGCCCTTGCTATTGGTGGAGAGTTTAAGAAATACCTAGAGGTTGTATTGAATACTCTTCAACAGGCTTCCCAAGCCCAGGTGGACAAGGTAAGTTTAAAGCTATCTTTCAGTCCAGCCCTGATTAGAGGAGGAGAACTTTGGCAAACATACTATAACTAAAAACTATCAATATGATGGAAAGTCTCTCCTTTGTGTCTTACAGTCAGACTATGACATGGTGGATTATCTGAATGAACTAAGGGAAAGCTGCTTGGAGGCCTATACCGGAATTGTCCAGGGATTAAAGGGAGACCAGGAGAACGTACACCGTTGAGTATTCAACCAAACTTACATGGTCCAGGGTGCACTTAGTCAAACGGGCTGTCTCTCTCATTCTGTAGCTTACTTGTAGACTAGTACCTATGGCTTAAAGCAAGGAGAGAAAGAGGAACAGTGCCCTAATGAAGAGAGGAGCTTTGTGGGGAGGGATAGACTTTTCTTATTTCTGCCCCTTCTTTGCTACATTATCTCATATTCTTGAGCATTGCAGGGAACAGAATGCAGCCAGGCTATTGCGTCTGCACCAACCTGAGTGGCAGTTGTTGGTCCACACATACACCTTCCTTGTGCGACCGAATTGCATGATTGGGGGATTTTTTGTCTTTTACCCCTTCGATACTATGGGCTTTGTTTTTGCTGTATTATATCAGCTTAGTAGAAGAGGAATGTCTGCTTTTTCTGTTGACTTGAGAAATGGCATGTTAATCTGCGAAAGAATAATTTGGTATAATTATATTCAACTAGGTCTCCAGCCTGACACCTGCCTGATGGGATTAGAGTATTTGGCAATTTGGAAATGGGGTATAGTCCTGCCAGATATGGGACAAGTTCCTCAGACCATCTCTTTCTTTTATAGCGGATGTGATGCTCGTACAACCCAGAGTAGAGTTTATTCTGTCTTTCATTGATCACATTGCTGGGGATGAGGATCATACAGACGGAGTAGTAGCTTGTGCTGCTGGACTGATAGGGTATGTTATACCTGGCTTCTCATAGCTGAGTTTAACTTCTGGTGGAAAGTGCAAGGTCATGTAAGAAATAAAATTGGGGGAGGGGGGTAGACTACATGGTAATTATACAGTTTGGTACAAAGGAGATTTCTTTTTTATTGATTAATTTCAGAGAGGAAGGGAGAGAGATGGAAACATCAATGATGAGAATCATTGATCTGCCTCCTGCACGCCCCCTACTGGGGATCGAGCTCACAATCCCGGCAACAAACCCGCAACTCTTCAGTCCCCAGGCTGATGATCTATCCACTGAGCCAAGCCGGCCAGGGCCAGAGATTTCTTTCATAGAACCCATGGTATCATGTTTTGAGTTCTCACAAATAATAATTCATTTAAGACCATATTTCTAATTTCTCCCCACTAAACTTATAAAGTGAATTATGTATAAAAGCAGCATTAGATCTATTTCCATCCCATATTCTGGTGTTGGCCAACAAATTGAGGGTTTCTGAAGCATCATTTAAAGCCAGAACATTGGTTTTGAGAATCTCAAAGACTTGGGTTCTAGTTCTGATTTTAGAGTGAAATATCGGTGGAATGATTGACTTTGGTAAGTCATTCTACCTCTTTAGACCTCATTTTTTCATCTTTTGAGGGCAGGTGTTAAGACTTATTTATAAGATTTCTTTCCATTTAAAACAGTAAATGATAGAAAAAACGCATAGCTAGCTTAGCCCTGGTTTTACAATTTTTGAGCTCAATACGCCCGGTCGGGAGCTCATGTTCAGGTGTGTTTATTTTGCCCAGGGACTTATGTACAGCATTTGGGAAGGATGTCCTGAAATTAGTAGAAGCTAGGCCAATGATCCATGAACTGTTAACTGAAGGACGGAGATCGAAGACTAACAAAGCAAAAACCCTTGCTACATGGGCAACAAAAGAACTGAGGAAACTGAAGAACCAAGCTTGGTAAGAGCTGGTCTTTTCTGCCCTCTTTCTTGTGCTTTCTTGGCGGGGGTGTGGGGGCATTTATTTAGATTGTTATGACAAAGACTTCCTTTCATTTGGTACTATTTTGTTTTGAGCTGTTTGCCATTATAAGTGCGTCCGAGCAGGGCCTTTGTGCCTAAGCTTTGTACTAGTGGAAGGGTCAGACAACCTCAATCTTTTCTTGAGCCAAATATTTGATTCCTCGTGGTGATGAAGAACAGAACTTTTATAACTAGAATTCACTGACGTGCCCACATTTTGGGCCCTAATAAAGTCCTCAAGAATGGCATTTCCCCATAATTCTCTTTTCTACTCTCTATTCCCTTCCCCATGCCCTTTTCTTTCTTGACTGCCATGCTTTTAGACATGCTTAGCTCTACAGAAGATACCCAAAGTCAGCTGTCTGACCCCTGGTTGGCAATGTAGTTTTAATTTATTTTTCTCTCATATACTCAGTTATTTTACTTTACAGATCCCAGTAAAATTGGCTATTTTTGAATTTTATCTTTTTACTTTCCCTCCCACTTTCTGATGTGCCAATAAATGGCACATAGGAAGGGGAGAAAAATAATCAGTCCTTGAAAAATTGACAAATTCCATTCTTGCCTCTGAGCACTTAAAATTGTAGGAATCAGAGGTGTTTGGCTCTACCAGCTGTATATGATCTCAAAGATTGACCTTGTTTCCATCTATTTTTAGATCTTGTTACCATTGGGATGATAACCTGAGACCCCCACTGGAAATCTCCAATCTTTTGAAAAACCCGGAAGTGAGGAGTGTGCACGGATGCTGAGTGTTTGGGAATGAGAGCATGAGTGAGTGAGGCTTGAAAACACACCACATTGAAAATCCTGCCACAGCAGCAGCCGCAGCCACCAACAGCAGTGCTGTTAGTGAGCTAAGCAAGCACTGACTTCGTAGAAAACCATAACGGCGGCCATCTGGGAAGAGAGAAAAACTGATGGATTTACTTACTTACGAAAGAAAGCTGTCTCTTCCCAGCAGAGGCTAGAACTAGCTTTTCTGTCTTTTGGCCGGTGTTGAGTGAGTGGAATGACTAGTTTGCGAGAGGAGGGGGAGGAGGAGGAACTGGGTTCAGCTGTGGTGCTTTGTTGTAAAAGGCAGCCTGGCCTTTGCTACTGATAAGAAAGATGGAGCCTGGGTCTCGAGCCCACCTTTGGTGTACCTTTGCCATACGGTACTGTATGTGTGCCGGCTAAAAGGAGGGTGAGGGATTCTTACAGTCTGAGAATGAGTGTGTGTGAATGAGGCGGTATCCACATTCTCAACTTCAAGTCATTGCAGTTTCTTTTTCCCAGAAAAAAAGGGGTTAGACATTGCATTTCATAAAACTAACAGAAGTTCTGTCTACTGATGCAGCACAAGAGATGTAAAAAAAAGGGGGGGGGAAGCTCTTTAGGTTTCATTTTTTGTTTTGTTTTTTAATTATCTTCTAGGGAAAACACTGACGAATGTTCAGAGCTCCCATTCTGATCTATCTCATCAAGGCTCCTTTCCTAATAATATGGTTCAACTGTGAATGTAGAATTGGGGGGAGGGGGGAGAAAATGAAAACTCTGGAGTTAGATGATATAGAAAAAAATAAAAATGCAATTGTTACAAATAAAGAATGCAGACTTCAAAAACAAAAGAAAGCCACAGCCCCCCAAAAAAACAAAATTTAAATGCTCAGATTGGCAGCAGAAAGAAACATTCTCTTCTGATGTGTATCAAGGCAGTCTGAACGCCCCCAGAAAATTGTGCCAAAGAGTTTAGAAAACACATACAATAAAGTAAACACACACACACACACATACAGCAAACTTCAGGTAACTATTTTGGATTGCAAACAAGGATAAATTTAATGTTCAAACAATCTGATAAAATAACCATTTGGAAACTGCTTGGCCTTCTGTTCTCTTATTTGATTGACTGCAATGCGATATTGGTCTCTTGCTGCACTTCAAAACCAACTATCCAACAACAAAAGAATATACAAGTATATATACACATATACTTAGACTAGAACTCTTGTGATGAAAGTGGCACTTGAAAAAGGTTATATTTTTCCACTGAAGTTGAAGATTAATAAAATGGTGTCAAACATTCCCCTGGTCACACGCTTTAATATTTTTTTAAAGTGTGATGTGCTGTGATAACCATAAATCAGACTTAATTATGTTCCCTTTACACAGGGAACAGGGCACCCTGAATTTGGGTTTTAGAATCTTTCAGCAATAAGGGATGTGGGTGAGCTTTGATCCTCTTCTGGTTTTGCAGTTATTAGAGGAGTTTTTGCTGGCGTTTTGAATATGCTGCTTTCAAAAACACCCAAGGGAGATTTTTTTAATGCTTCCTGGTATTTGGAGGATTGAAAAACAAGACCTTAAAATTCCCATTTTCATTTTCATTCTAGCAAAAAAATAGGGGCTTATGTATTTCTCTGCCATTTCCCCCTCCCTGTCCAAGCCTTCCATTCATGTGTGGGTTTGGCTCGCTTTTGCCCATCCATATGGCAGCATCTCTAATAGCTCTTGTACAGGGTATCAGATATTGTGCCTTTTGGTGCCAGGTTCAAAGTCAAGTGCCGATCTATGAACCAGTGTACAAAAATGAATCCAGGTATTTGAAGAAAAGACGCTCCATTGTGAATAGAGTGCACCAGCTCTTAAGCCCTAAGAAGAGACCTGGCCCTCTAATGCCTTGTGTAAATTTTAGTTCCTTGAGGGAGAGGGTATACTAACCATTCCTGGTAGACAGGGTTTGGTCAAGGCTTAGGGATGCGGCAGGAATATTGGGGAGAAAAAATGATCATTCCTCAGTGCTACCCATTTCTGTCCTGTGTGGGCTGCTTAGCTAGACAGCAGGAGAATAAAGTACACCAAGAACCATAATGAAAACAGAACCTTGCGTGTGTTTTGTCATTTTGTTCCAGGGAAGCAGTTGACAAGTGCTGTTATTAACGCTTTCTCCCAGATGCATTCAGTGATGGAGGAGGAAAACGGGCTGGTTGGGTTGTGGTCTTGGTGCCTCGCAGTTACTCTGCACTGGTTATGCATTTAATCTAGTTACCTTTGGCTAGTGGGTACTCCATAGTCTGGGTTTTGTCCTTAATCAGTTGTACCACCTAAGGCGACTGGATGCAAAATACATTCTATCCACTCTTATCTGAGCCTTCCCCACCCTAGTCTTGGCACATTCCTTCAAGAATGTAGTTACCGTCTGCTTGGGAAGATGTCAGTGCAAATGTGAAGAAAATGGACATCGGACTAGGCTTTGGTTTGCCACAGTGGCAGCTGCCTATATCAATTACAATTACATTTATTAATTTTGCTTTCCATTTTTCCAGTTCCCCTCAGCTCCCCTCTGTTGAAATGTTGGCTGTCAAGAGGCAACTGTGACGCTGCCTCTGGGACTTGTGGAGAAAGGGAGGGGAACTGCTCAGTATAGTGTTTCACTTTCAGAACCAAGTAATCTAGTCACTCATATTTAAGAAGTGTGTTAGTCTGACTTCAAGAGAAATCCAAACTCCATCAGCTTTTGATAGCATCTTGGTTTTCGAAACTTCAATCTGTAATTGGCATTTAAAATGCCCTTGGCATGCCAGTCTGTGATGGCATTGAAGACCTGTTAAAACACTTGAGCCCAACTTTATTAACCAAAACTGATACCACCACCTTTATCTTCTAAATAAAGTCCGCTTTATTTTTATTTTCAACATTTTGCCGCTTCATTTTTGGTTCCAGATGGTGTCACCTTGGAGGTGAAATGAATGGTTTGAAAGAAGCTAGAACATGTGGTGGTGGTGGTGTGTGTGTGTGAGTTTGGGAGAGAAGGACAGACACATCTGTCTAAAATGGACTGTACATAATGTAGTGGGAAATAAAAACATTCCCACAGATGGGGTCGTGCAAAGGTACTACATGGAGGAGGTGTCCTGTTCGGACTGTGAAACTGCTGAAGATTGGCCTCATGCATATTTTCCAGGTTAGTGATCTGGGCTGCTAAAAGGCTCGTCACAAAGGTTGGCTTTTTACTTAGGCTGCAACATGTATTTAATTTCTACTTCCACTTTTGCCCCAGAAACTTGTGGAGAGAAGAACATTAACTTGGGATTTAGAAACTGGGTCCTTCACCCTGCTGCTTAGGAGCTTAGTGGCACCTGCAGGCCATTTTGTGGAAATACTCACTTGATTAGTTTACGTCAGGCAAATAAAATGAGGGCTAACTTTACTTCTACCTTAGCTTCCATATAGCCATTTACCTTTTCTAGATGCACACATTTGTCAAATTTTGATCATGCCTACTCTCAACTGTTTATAAATTCTATACCTGTACTACTGTACCCATATGTTGTATAATCATAACAAAAATAGAATTAAAGACCAGTTAATCAAAAAGTAAATATAAACAAAAGTTCTAATGTTTTTATGTCCAATTTTGAGATTACTCTGTTACAGAGGTAACTTGTAATTCTAATCAGACTGCATTAAATCCTGAGTGATGGTAATTAACCAAGGACATTTCTCCAGTAAAGGAGTACTTAAAAGGAAAAACTATATCAATTGATTATCAAATGGCAGGGAGAGATTCCTTTCCCTGCTAAATGTGATTTTTCCTTTTCACCATTTCTCCAATAACCCCCCATTCCCATATACCTGCTTCCCAGCAAACACTCAAAAAGAACACAGAATAAGGTTACAGTTCCACCAGGCTTATAGTACTAGTAAACAGTGAGATTTTGTTAGTTCCATTATAGCTTTTTAAATTTATTTTAGGGAGAGAGAGAAACCTTGGTTGCCTCCCATATGCGCCCTGACCAGGGATCAAACCCACAACCTCTGTGCATGCCCTGACCAGGAATCAAACTGGTGACTGTTGTGTGGGATGATGAACACACCAGTCAAGGCTGTTCTATTGTATCTTAACTAGAGGCCTGGTGCACGAAATTCATGCATGGGTGGGGAGGGGAGGGGTCTCTCTCAGCCTGGCCTGCACCTTCTTTCGTCCCTCCGGGACCCCTTGCTCCTTAACGCTCGCCTGCTTGCTGCTCCTTATCGCTGTCTCTGAGGGGCTGCCACCACCACCACTGCTGCACTCATCAGCTGTGAGCCTGGCTCTGGCCCTGTGAGAGCACACTGACCACCAGTCCTGCATTGAGCATCTGCCTCCCGGTGGTCAGTGTGCATCATAGTGACTGGTCTTTCTGGTCTTTCCACCATAATGGTCTCTCAGGCTTTTAGTATATATTTAGATTCTCGGCAACTTGAACAGTCACTATTCCTGTTTACTACTGAAGTGAACAGGAGGGGCAGAAAGATTGAAACCAAACCAAGGTCACATGGAGCTTGAATTCAAACACAAGTCTTGATATTTGTTTTTTGGGTTTTTTTTTGTTTGTTTTTTTAAATCAATCTTTATTGTTCATATTATTACACAGGTTCCTCGTTTCTTCCCCCCTCCACCAGGTTCCCACCCCACCCTCTGCCCCCTCATCCTCATTCATTGGTGCACAGTTTATGTTCAGTCTCTTCCTCCCTCCCTTTCCCCGATAGTAAATCCCTTTTCAGATAGCAAATCTGTTACTTAGCATTTTCTCATATCAATAATACCTCCACATGCCCAATGATACACTTCACACAAAAGACATTTCCAAATAGGACAACCAGCCTCATCCAGGCCCCACCCAAGGCACTCACAGATCAACACCCCAGCACTATACTAACTCAACACATCCAGATATAAGCCTTCATCACTTGATTCAGCAGACCCTCAAGTTCCCGCAAAAGTTTCCAACCGTGTCTGAGAGGCAGCCGTGGGGCAGGGGCAGGTGAGGAGCGAGCTGTTTTGGGCCAGGCTGCTCCGGGCCTGGCCTCTGTTGCTCTGGTTCGTTCCACAACCAGCTGCTCCGTGTCTGGTCACTGCCGCTCCCAACCCAGTTGCTCTGGACTTGGCTGTTGCTGCTACAGGCCTGGCCACACCCACAAGTCTTGATATTTGGCTCTGTTGACTAATGAGTTTGCTGACCACTGCCTTAGACTGATGCTACCAGCATCTTAGCAATATAAATACTAGGGCCCATGTACGTATTGATAATATGCATCTATTTCCTTACTAGGACTATTTAAAATAGGGGTGTCGAACTCAATCAGAGAAGGGGCCAAAATCTAAAATCCAGCCTAAATCGCGGGCCGAATGGTTTACTGAACAGTCATAAACTGTCATTGTGATGGAAACGCAGCGGAGTGCAGTGATGACAGCGCGGTGCGGGCCACATTGCAAGGCCTGGCGGGACGGATTTGGCCCGCGGGCCTTGTGTTTGACACATGTGATTTAAAAGTATATTTTAAATTTGTTGCTTACTGATTTTTTGCCAGTTTTCCCAACTATAATGTAAGCTACCTAATGCAGTGACCTTGGCTGTCTTATTTATTGCCATATCTTCAGACTGGAGCGGCACCTGAGGTATAGTAGACCTTCAATAAATATTTGCTGAACTAATGGCATGTCAGTACAGGGAGATTCTGGAATGGCTTCAGCCTTTGAAGGGCAGAGCATCCAGGAACTCGGGAACAGCAGGGCCTCAGAAGACTTGGGCCCTTACTCTCCCGTTTCTCATTTGCTGGGTGTCTTCAGGCTCGTCTGTTAACCTTGGGTTAACCGGAAGGCTGGGAACAGGATTAGTCAATAGTTAAATCATTATATGGTGTCCTTTTTTTTGCAGGTGTCAGGCTAGTAATAAGCCTCATAGGCCGATAGTAATAAAAGTGATCCCCACTATAACAAAGGCAACATTCTCGTCCCGTTTCACAGATAAGGAAACAAGCCCAGAGAGGCTAAGACCCTTGCCCAGAATCACGTGGGCTAGCAAGCAGGGCTGATTTCACAGGCTCTGCTTTCCCACTGGGCTGTTGCATAGCCACGTGGTAGGAGCAGCAGAAGGGTCTCTGCTCCCAAAGTTTAGTTTGTGGTGAAGCAGAGAGAGCCCTGGATGAAGTTTTGTGATTAAACAGCAAAGCCATTTTGTCTTGATTCTATTATGAGGTCCACTGTCAACCGTTGGCAACTGTCGGACTCTCCATTCGGGGTCGAATGAAATCCACTTTCTTCGTCATTGGGGTCTGAACCACCTTCTGCACTTCTGCTGCTTTCCCTCTGAGCTGGAAGCTCTTGGGAACCAGGGCTGGGGATGGGATACATGTTGGATGGAGCTGCTGAGTAAGCTCTCCGTCTGCATTACCCAGTGCTGTCAGCTGACCCTGGGCAGCCTATGTGGGCAGGAGGCCTCCCATGACTGAGCTGTTCTCTCCCCAGGTGCCCGCAGGCCCCACGTCCCTGAGCTGAGCTTTCCTCGGTGTGAAACGTACCTTCTTTTCTGAAAGGAAAGCACATCTCCGCTTTGGCACCCTGCCTGGGCTCTGGACACCGAGGGGCAGCCTGTCACCATCCTGAAGGAGAGAGGAATGAGAAATGGCTCTGTATGAGTAAGCTCTCCTTAGCAATAAGCAGTGCCTGCTGTTTTCTGAGCTCTGCCCTTCAAAACATGGTACAGTTTTAGTAGTATGACCTTGGGGAAATTCAACTTTTCTAGTCCTCCGTTTCCTCATCTATAAAACAGGAATCCCAATGAAAGAAAATGCACATGAAGCCCTGAATGTTTTGGCTCAGTGGATAGAGCGTCGGTCTGCGGACTGAAAGGTCCCAGGTTGGATTCCAGTCAAGGGCGTGTACCTTGGTTGCGGGCACATCCCTGGTGGGGGGTGTGCAGGAGGCAGCAGATAGATGTTTCTCATCCGTGTTTCTGACTCTCTACCCCTCTCCCTCTCTGTAAAAAAATCAACAAAATATATTTTTAAAAATGCACATGAAGTTCTTAGCACAGGGCCTCACACATGAATTAATTGATTGAGAACTACTGAGTATGTGCCAGGCACTGTAAAAGGCACTAGGAAATGAAGCAAATAAAATCTCCATCCTATGAAGTCCACATTCTAATGGACAATACCTCATAAGTATTCAAAACTGTAATGTAATAATTATATATATATATATATATATATATATATATATATATTTTAATTCTGTTTGGGAGATAGCAGAAAGGGATGTGGTTGTGGAGAACACGAAGCACAAAGAGTTATTAAAACAATTTCCAGGCAAACCTGGCTAATTTGATAGCGGGAGTACGCTGCCTCCAAAGGAATCTGGGGATTTGGTGAAGAAGTTAAGGTCTTTCTGCTGCACAGCCTCTGGTTTGATGGAAGACCAGCAGCTGCAGTTGCAGTCCCAGAATGGTTCTGCGTCGAACCCCAATTTCTAAGGTCTAAAACCGGAGGACGAAGGTGGCACCCGGGTCCTGTATTGTCACATGTGTCTAATCCATGTTCCTGCCTGCCTGGTTCTATTTGAGTCATTTCCACTCCATCTCTTTGCCGGCTGCTAACAAGCTCCATCTCCTCCTACTCTCTTCAGGCAAGAGTGGGACCAGAAAGACAGTCTTTCTCCAGAGCAAGAGTCCTGGAGCGGGAGATAGTCCCTCCCCAGGGGCTCCCCGGGAGAGACACGCAGGGGTGACTCAGGCCCTGCTTCGGGGTTGTCTCTCCTACCAGTTCCTGGTGGAGGCGGGTCCTCTCTTACTGTGCCTCTGAACGCCTTCTAGAAATGTCTACAACTCTCGCCTGACCAGCTGTCTGCTGCATTCCCTTCTCCCCTCCCACCTTAGCTCCTGCCTCACTTCCCCTTGACCATGGCCCTGGGTTTTCCCATTTCTGCCTCCATCGTGATGAGCCCTGATAATATTATGGTACTTACAAGGAATTTAGACCAGGCTCCCCGCTTTTCCAGGTGAGGAAACCGGTCGAGAGGGGAAGTAACTAATCCGGAGTCACGCCGCTTCATTCATTTATTCACTCAACCCAGAGCACTCCTTCCCCTTTAAGATTTAGCTTAAATGTCACCGCATCAGAGAAACCTGCTTTGACTACTTTATCTAAAGCAGATCCCCCTCCCTCCAATTCTTCTCTTATTAATCTTTTCGATCTCACTCCTCTACTGGAATATAAGCTCCATGAGGGCAAAAAGGACATGTTTGTCCTTCAGAGGCATGCTCCTCACTGTATTCTCAGCATCCAGCCTATTAATAAGTGGTTCAAGAAATCTTTGCTGCCGAAACCGGTTTGGCTCAATGGATAGAGCGTCGGCTTGGGGACTGAAAGTTCCCGGGTTCGATTCTGGTCAAGGGCATGTACCTTGGTTGCGGGCATATCCCCAGTAGCGGGTGTGCAAGAGGCAGCAGATCGATGACTCTCTCTCATCGATGTTTCTAACTATCTCTCTCCCTTCCTCTCTGTACAAAATCAATAAAATATATTTTTAAAAAAATCTTTGCTGAACTGCCCAGCCAGTGTGGCTCAGTGGTTTAGTGTCAACCCATGAACCAGGAGGTCACAGTTTGATTCTGTTCAGGGCTCATGCCCAGGTTTTGGGCTCCATCCCAGTGGAAGGGTTTGCAATCAATGATTCTCTCTCATCCCTGATGTTTCTCTCTCTCTCTCTCTCTCTCTCTGAAATCAGTTTTTAAAAATATTTTTTTTCTGATTTTTTACAGAGGGGAAGGGAGAGGGATAGAAAGTTAGAAACATCGATGAGAGAGAAACACCCATTAGCTGCCTCCTGCACATCCCTTACCGGGGATGTGCCCACAACCAAGGTACATGCCCTTGACCGGAATCGAACGTGGAACCCGTCAGTCCCCAGGCCGATGCTCCATCCACTGAGCCAAACCGGTCAGGGCTCTCTGAAATCACTAACAAAATAAATGTTGGCTGAATTAATGAATGTACAGTGAGCAGGTAGCCTCAAAGCACGTGGGGATATGAAAATAGATGGACCCTGCTTTCAGAACTGCCCTGTTTAGCCACAGAACCGGAACATTCGGAATGTGACGGTATCGGGTCCAGATTGGAGATCCAGCTTGGGGATGGGGACAGGGTACTTCAGGGGCACCTAAAACAGTCTTAATCTGCCCAGCCAGATTGGGCATCGACCTATGAATCACGGTTCAATTCTCGGGCAGCGCATATGCCTGCCTGGGTCGCAGTCTCAGTCCCTAGTGAGGGGCGTGTGGGAGGCAGCCAATCAATGAGTCTCTCATTATTGATGTTTCTATGTCTCTTCCTCTCTGAAATCAATAAAAATACATTTTAAAATAATAATAAAACAGGCTCAATCTCTCTAGGGCTTTTGTTACCAACTGCTTAGAAGCCAGGATAAACCATTTGGCTGGGACTCGGGCCTGTGTCCTGAGCAGTCCAGTAGCATCAAGGCTGTCAACTCAGCCACTAGAGAGTGTGCTCCCCTTCTGGTGAGGGCGGGCCTGGCCGGCAGTTCCCCAAGTCCAGCTGGTAGCCAAGCCCACGTTCATGACAGCCCCACCCCTTCCAGCCTCGCTTCCAGTCTTTCACCTGGTCTGCTTCAGCACAGAGCCTGGGCAGCACTGAGGAGGGTGACACCTGCCTAGCCTTCAGGATTAGCCGGGTGACAGATGTCCCAGCTGGTAGCCTTCATACCCAGAGGGCAGATGGGTTGTCCCACGTGGCCCAGAGCAAGCTAGTGGCCCAGAGAGAAGCGGCTGGCCTGCCTTCTTGTTCAGGAACCCCGGGGAGAAAGAGGAGAAGGAGGAGGAGGAGGAGGGGGAGGGGGAGGAGGGAGGAAAGCAGTGAGAATCCCTTTTTTTGAAGAGAAGGAGTCCAAGCCGCTGCTGGCTCTCCTGGGAGAAGCTCACCCCTCAGTCCAATCTTCTCCCTACAGTGGGGCAAGATGGCAGTTGCTGCTGCTGTTTCTCAAAGCTCACAGCACGCAAGAAATCTTTTCTTTCCTCCTCTTCACCCCAGATTCACCCTCCACCCCACCGGTCAGGAGCCAGAAAGGCAGACTCAGGCCCCGGCCCCGGCCGCCTGAACCCTCCTCCCAGCTAAATGCTGGGCCTACCCAGAGCCCCTGCCCGCCGCCTGTACCAGGGTCCGCCAGCTCCCTCCATCATTCCCTACCTGCAGCCCAGCCGACCTTGAGCGTCACGGGTTAGTTTTAGCTCTCACCCCCATGGTCACAGGGGGATCATCTCCAACTTGGTTCAGAAAGGCTAAGTAACTGTCCAAGGTCACACAGGGGGGAAGTGGCAAAAACAATCAAACAAAACCCCCAAACTTGCCTCTCCTGCTCAGGAGTTTGGCAAGAGCTGAGATAATCTTTGTGGGAAGGGTAACATCTGTTTATTTCGCTGCCTGTGGATGCTTCTGTGCGTTGGGGAAGGGGACTGTGCATGTGTGAGTATGTGTGAGTGTGTGTGTATGTGTGTGAGTGTGGGGACGGCGGGGGGGGGGGAAGGGGGGGTGATATGTTCTTTCCTAAATGGACCTTTGACCTCCTTAGTTCACTCTGTCTTCCGCAGAAGTTCCTGCTTTAACTCTCCTCTCCCCGCCTGGACTGTGTGTGTGTCTTACAGAGCAGAGCCCCATAGCAATGCGGAGCAGGTGCAATGTTTTCCTTCTCCAAAGAGCAAAGACACCCCCCCGCCCCCTCCAAATAGCCTCACTTTCCCCCAAACGGTGCAGCAAAATCAAAGCAGCCCCTGGCCCCGGCACAGCCCGCGATGCCCCCGCTCTGCGTTGGAGGCGGCGGGCGGCGGGCGGGGGGCCGGGCGCGCGGCCAGGCGGGCCGCACCGGGGGGCCGGCCGCCCCTCTCGCCACGTGGCGGCGGCGGCGGGGTCCGGGGGGCCTTCCCAGCTGGAGGACGCGGAGCAGCCGGAGAGGAGGAGGCGGCGGCGGCGGCGGCGGAGGAGGAGCGGGGCGGGCGGGAGGGAGGGGGGCTGGGGGAGGGCTGGGGGTGGGGAGGGACCCGGCGGCGGCGACAGGGCGCGAGCGAGCGCGGTGCCAGGGGGTGGGGGCACCGGTGCCCGTCTGGGGAGGGCGCCGGCGGCGGGGGCCGCTGCGATCGCAAGCAGGAGCCGCGAGGCCGTGAGTCCCGGCGGAGCGGGCGGGGAGGGGAGGGGAGGGGAGCGCCGGGCCGCTCGCGGGGGGCGCGGGGGCCGGGAGGGGGCGGAGGCCGGCGCTCGGCCCCGGATGGCGGGTGGGGGGGAAGGACCCGCGCCGCCGCCCGCAGGCTCCCTGGCCCGGCTCCCCGCTCCCCAGGCCGCGCCGCCTCCCGCGCCCCTGCCTGGCCCGGGGCCGGCGCGGGCCCTCCGCGCGGGGAGGGGGCTCGCGGCCGGGCCGCAGAGGGAGGGCGCCGGCCGCCCCGCGGAGCCGCAGGGGGTGAAAGGGCGGCTCTTAAAGGGGCCGCAGAGGGCCCGGCCGAGGAGCACCCCCTCCCCATCCGCCCTTCGCGGGGCCGCCGGGGCCGGCGGAGGGGAGGCGGCGGGGAAGGGAGCGGTCGGGCGGCCCGGGGCCTGCGCCCGGGCTGGGGCGGGTGGCCGCGATGGCGGGCCGGGGTCGGGGTGCGGGTGTGGAGCGCGCCGGCCGGCGGGGTTGGCGGCGGGTGGGGGGGGGACGGGCCTGGAAGGAAGGGGTTAAAGGTGGGGCGCACACACTCCGGACTCGGGCCCGGGCGCACGCGTGTCCCTGGCACGGAACCGGGGGGCGGCGCGGGGCGGGTCCCGCTGCGGGGCCTGGGGGGCCGCGAACCCCGCCGTCTGCACTCGCACCCGGCAGCCCTCTCCCGCGCGCGCACACACACACACACACACACACACACACGCACACACACAAGCACACACGCGCTCCGGCGCGCGCGCCTCGGACATTCCCATGGTGCCTCACGTGACCCAGGCGTGCCCACCCTCACACACGCTCACGCACGCGTGCAGGCACACACGCGCGCACACGCGCTCACACACACACACACGCACGGCCGCTTCCCGGCTCCAGCCCGACCCCCGCCCGCAGCCCCGCCACGCGCTCCGGAGTGAGCACACCTACACCCATTCACAGACACCGTCCCCCGCACGCCGGCGGCAGACACATTCATAAACACGCGCACCCCTCGCCTCGCCTCCTCCCAGCCTGAGTCATCCCGGCCCCCTCCCCGGCTCCCATTCCGCCGCCTGCGCGCCCACAGGGCGGGCGTGGGGTCCTGTCACCTGGGCCAGCCCGGCCCGGTGCGCCCCGCCGGCTCCCAGGCCTTCCCGCGGCCCGGGTCAGGGGTGAGGAGGGCCTGGAGCGCTGCCACGGTCGGGCCGGCGGAGAGGGGGGAGGCACTTCCTTTTCCTGAACTCCGGGATCCTGCAGGAGGAAGCCGGGGAGCTGGGCGGGGGCCGCAGAGGAAGTGCTGGCCGTGCTGGGCTGGCCCTCCCAGGAGCACGGAGCCTTCTTAGAGCGGAGCCAGGGGTGCCAGGGCCCGGGATGAGGAACTTGGCAGAGAGGTATTTGGGGAAAGGAGGCCTGGGGTGGAGAAGGGGCCAGGAAGGCAGGTCTCTGCAGTTCCCTGGGTTCCAAAAGGAGCCCATCCCTGCCTAGACCGGCCTAGGTGTCCCAACTGGCCACCTCCCCCTGGCTTCCCACCCCCAGGTCTTCACCTGGGCCCAGCCGGGCTGTGGGAGATGGGGGTGGGGGGGCAGGACCAGGCTGCCTCTCAGGCCAAGACTAGGGGCGTCAGGGGACAAGCGTCCGGCCACCCCTCCACCATGTCTCGTCTCCTGCTTCCCCAGGAGGCCCGAGGGGTGCTGCAGCCCAGGCCCTCGCCATGGAGTCCATGTTTGAGGATGACATCAGTATCCTGACCCAGGAAGCCCTGGGCCCGGGTGAGGTGTGGCTGGACGCTCCCGGTGACCCGTCGCTGGGGGGAGACATGTGCTCCGCCTCCCACTTCGCCCTCATCACGGCCTACGGCGACATCAAGGAGCGTCTGGGGGGCCTGGAGCGGGAGAACGCCACCCTTCGGCACCGCCTCAAAGTTTATGAGATCAAGGTCAGAACTCGGAGACGATGGGGGTCCGGCTGTTTGTGAGTGGGGTGGGGGCTGCTAATGGCAGGAATTGGGGATCAGCAGAGATTCCAGGGATCCAAAAGGGAGGGCAGGATACAGACTCGTGAAACTTGAGAGTCCCCCCTGCGAGGTGTGGCTGCTTTGGGTGGGAATGCTGAGAGCCCAGAGCCGATCAGGAAGCGATGAGGAGGGATGCGCTTCGGAGGGGCGGGTCTGGGATCTGAAGGTCCGGGGAGTGGGGGCGCTCTCAGGCCCACGGGCATTGGGATGTGCAGATCCCGCTGGAGAAGGTGCTCGGGGGCAGGCCATGGGGCAGGGGCACAGTGAGCCTGCAGCCTGGGCAGGGAGCCAGGCACCAGCTCTCCTGAGGGCCTGCCCACCGCCCACAGTACCCGCCGCTGATCAACAACTTCGGAGAGGAGCACGGCTTCTCCCTGTATGAGATCAAGGATGGCTCTCTGCTGGAGGTGGAGAAGGTCAGCCTGCAGCAGCGGCTCAACCAGTTCCAGCGTGAGGTGAGCCCCTTGCAGGCTTCTGTGCTTTCCCTAAGCTCGCCCCAGTCCGTTTCAGACCCCTCCTCCCCCCCACACACACACCGCCGGCCTCTGGCCTGTCCCCTGGAGCAGGGATGGCCAGGATGCTCCTTCGGGCTGGTCACAGGGAACTGCTCAGCCCCTGAGTCAGTGAGGGGCCTGACTGGCGTGCACCCCAACCCCCTGGGCCCCCTCCAGTTGCAGAAGAACAAGGAGCAGGAAGAGCAGCTCGGGGAGATGATCCAGGCTTACGAGAAGCTCTGTGTGGAGAAGAACGACCTGGAGACAGAGCTTGGGGAGATGGTGAGGCCCAGGGAGCCGGGGTGGGAGAGGGTGACCCGGGTGTGTGTCAGCCATCACCCTGTGAGTGTGCTCGGGGTGTGTACCCCTCTGCGACCCTGTGTGTGTGTCTGTGCATGCCGTGTGTCTTGTCCGTTGTGAGTGTGCGCATACCCACCATGCAGTGTCAGGGGAGGGGGGAGACTGTGTGAGTGACCCCGTAGAACATGGTGGCTCTGCGTGTATGTTTGAGTCTCCTGCTGGGCCTCCCCTAGGCCCACAGCACGGCTCCTGGGAGGCTTTGTCAGTGAGGGCAGCGGGGACCAGAAGTGCCTGCGGCTGCTGGAACAGGTCTTGGCACATGTGTGATTCTGGGTCAGGATATGGCCGTGTGTGTGTGAGCAAGTGGGCAGGGGTCAGAATCAGGAGGCATGGTTTCTGTCCGCTCCTAGCTGCCACCTGGGTCACGTCACTGAGCCTGCATTCCTCCTCTGGAGAGCGGGCAGATAGCTTCACTGAGCTGTGGTGGGCCTGAGCGTGAGGATGCCTGGCTTTCATAATCAGAGCGCTCACTCGGCACCTGCTATGTGCCAGGCACCACGCTTATCTCTTTATTTATTTATTTGTTTCACTGTTTTTTTTTTACAGAGGAAGAGAGATGGATAGAGAGTTAGGAACATCGATGAGAGAGAATCATCCATCAGCTGCCTCTTTCACACCTCCTACTGGGGATGTGCCCACAACCAAGGTACAGGCCCTTGACCAGAATCGAACCCGGGACCTTTCAGTCTGCAGGCTGATGCTCTATCCACTGAGCTAAACCGGTTTTGGCCACTCTTAACTCTTTAGATTAGGGGTGTCGAACTCAATCAGAGAAGGGGCCAAAATCTAAAATCCAGCCTAAATCGCGGGCCGAATGGTTTACTGAACAGTCATAAACTGTCATTGTGATGGAAACGCAGCGGAGTGCAGTGATGACAGCGCGGTGCGGGCCACATCGCAAGGCCTGGCGGGACGGATTTGGCCCGCGGGCCGTGTGTTTGACACATGTGCTTTAGATAGTTACTCGTTTTCGTCCTCATCACAAACCCAAGAGGCAGGTGTGGTTGCCGCTAACTCACAGAGGAGGTCGATGAAGCCGGAGTGCTTGTCACACATGCGAATGGAAGTCACCGCGCTCCTGTCTGGACAGGGGCGGGGGCTTCCTGTGATGTCCCTGTGTCAGTAACAGGGAAGGGGCAGTAGCCAGAGACATCCGCTCTGCAGGTGCTGGGATGGAGCCCTCGAACTCATGGTCTCTTGGAGGGTGGAGTGACCTGGGGCCTGCTCGATTTGGGGTGATGGCTGTTCAGACATGGCAATTGGGGGGCTCCCGGGGCCCCCCTGTTCCCCACGCAGCGGGCCCTGGTGGAGACCCACCTGCGGCAGATCTGTGGTTTGGAGCAGCAGCTGCAGCAGCAGCGAGGCCTGCAGGACACGGCGTTCTCCAGCCTGAGCCCCCCGCCGGCCCCCGCC